CCGCCGGGACTTCCCGCGCCTTCCCCCCCACTCCCGCGTTTTCCTCCGCGCCTACGAGTACCCCTCACGCCTTCCTCCCTTCCCTCACCTTCCTCCCCCCTTTCGCACCTACAGGTACTCCTCGCGTTCCGCGCTCCCCTCTAGCCCCATGGGTTAAAACCCACTAGTATTGCTACTGATAGTTACATAAAAACAGCTTTAAACTTATTGATAAACTAAAAGAATTAAATATAGAACAAAATTTTAATCTCATTTCTCTAGATATAGTGTCTTTATTTACAAATATTCTCATAGACTCAGTTTTAGATTGTGTTATTGAAAATAACTTTCATAGGCCCTTTTATAATAGTCATTATCGTGTTTAATATTTAAGTTTGTAATTTTCTTATTAAAAATTTTAAATAATAATAGTTTAAAGATAAGAATATTATTTGTTTTTATTATTTCAGTTTTTTCAAATATATAATTAGCACCACAATTATTCAGAGAAATGATAATGGAATTGACATCGAATCGATGTCGATTTGACATCGACAGCATTAAATCGATATCGAGTCGATGTCGATTCGATATCGATTTTATTTCTCACTGAGTATAATACATAATTTTTCTACATTAGTCTAATGTAAAAAATTATATCGTATTAGTTCTTCAAAAGTATATATTTTTTTAAAATTTTCTAGTAATCGAAGTATTGTATAGTAATATGTAATTTATATAAATTTCTATTTTTGTATAATTGCACGTATTACATATGTATCTCGTAATGTTACGTTTAACTATTATAATATTCGACTTTTTATATCAACCGAATTATTAATAAGATCTTTAATAAACTCATCAGCATCTTGTTCAATATTTTCAAAATATCGATCACTAGCCAATCTATGCACTGCATTTATATTCAAAATTTCATTAAAGACATAATAGTCGATTAACTTTCTGAATGCGTTTGTATGTTCCAGAAAAAGTAATAGTCTTCTGAAAATATAAGAATTGAATGTACATTGAATAGAAGCGTTAAGCATAACACGATACATTATCATTATTTGATGATTTGAAATCCTCTTATATACCAAAAATTTTGATCAATAATTTCTTTATCATTAATTATTTGACATTTAGAAACATTTTTTGTATTGCCCAAAGTAAATCGTGCACTTTTTTATTATATTATTTCAAAATATTAATATTTATAAGATCTAGTCTGTACTGTATTCGTAATCTATTGTATTCTATTATAAATAATGTATTTGCTTTTATAAAGGAAGGATCATAATTTATAAGATGTAGGCCATTTAGGGTAGTCACTCTAGAAAGAATAACTACTTGTCAACAAATACTTGTGAACAAATACTTGTCTACAACTGAATACAGAATTGCCAACTTCGACAACAACATGTTTTAAACTTAATCCTTGACTTTTGAATAGTTATATCGCAACTTAAATGTATCGGAAATTGCTTTCTTATAACCGCCTTATAAACACCTTATCCATTACATCAAATTTATACGTTCTATCAAATGCTTTGTTCCAGATAGCAACAGTTTTTCTACTTCATCATTGATAGTTCGTATAATTGAAGTACTACACTATAATAAGATATATTCCTTGTCACACGGAGAAATTCAGGCGATTCAATAAAAACGACATCAGGGTATCTTTTCATAGTCCTAATATAGGTCCTAAAATAGGTAAATACATATAAATATTTAGAAGGATATTTGTCCCCATACATCGAAGAGTAATATAGTTTATAAAATATCATGTAACAATTGTGATGCGACGTATGTTGGACAGACGAGCAGACAGTTGAAAATCAGAATTACAGAACATCGTAATCATATTAGACTTCTATCCATTCTGTCATCACGGATCATAGACTACAGTTTGATCATGATTTCCAATGGGACAACGTTAAAATTTTAGATGAAAAGCCTTGTTATAGGAAACGCTTAATTTCTGAGATGCTCAATATCAAGAAGCAGAAAAACAGAACACAAACGGACACGAAAGATATATTCATAAGGCATATTTACCCATTGTAAATCAAGTTTGACTTCTTCTATACTGACGGTCCGTCTCTTCTCTCAGTTCGTAGTGATCCGTACCAGCAAGCGTGCACATTAGTCGATACACAATGTCCGTTTTTCATATCCACTCATCTTTACGTTTTTTAATTACTTTTCGTTATACTTATATAGATACACTAGTTTTAATAATTTACACATGTTTTTTGGTGAGTTTTTATTTCTTATCATAATTCCGGTTGTTAAAGTTTTTGTTTAAGTTTACTTTTTTCATAAGAAATTTTTTTTTTATCGACTAGAACTTTTCTAAGAGATATGACATATTGTTGACTGTTCAATCATACGTGAATAATATCGAATCGTGAATAATATTCTACATCGAGACTCAACCAAACTGCATATATGATAATTTGTAAACATTTGCGATAATTATTTTGTAATACTGTTTATTCCAATATGTTTTAATGTCTGAAGAGGGTTTAATCCGGTAACTTATAATGTTGTATTTTATATTCACCTTTATTATTTCTTATTATGTATATTTTCTTCCATTTTATTTTTTCTATATTTGTAATTTATTCTTTTAATTGTATGACTTTTTTTAAAGAAATGCGGTGACTCTCACTTTGTCCTTTATTCATTATTATTTATTTTATACTATAATAAGAATTGTACCGATTGTTCCATTCACAAGACCTAAAGTAATATCAATCTTTCTTCTAATCATTATACCTGCTCCTAATTTTACGGTTGCGGAATCTGACTCTTGCCAATCCAGCTGTTCGAGAACTATCCGCAACATCATCCTCTAATATCTTTGAAACTTTTTTCTCAAATATAATACACAATCAGTCGCATATTGAGCAATAAGTTTTATTTTGTTTAAAGAAATATGGTTTAACATAGCGATATTTAAAGTGTTACATAATGCACAAGTTGGAAGTAGGCAAACTATATCCGCTGACAAATTTTGCAAATAATTATATAATTCTTGTAACCGCCCATCACAAGTAGTTTCCATAAATTTTATTTTCCTTCTTTCTAAAGCAGCAGTATCTGAGACTGTCACTGCTTCTATTCGAATTCTAGTTAATATATCTCGATAAAAATTATCATCCTGCTGCCTTACATTAATTTGCAATTCATTACAAATAAAAACTATAAATTCATAGAACTCATTGCTCCAATGTATTTCTCAATTTTTGTTTTTGACAATTCAATAAAGGATCGTTGCTTATGTACAAGTGGAATAAATCTCCGAAAAAAAGTATATGCTTTTTATCAAATCATCTGTTATCATAATCTCTAGTATTAAATATCTCTTAATCGAAGGTGTATATACATTAAAGTAACGTTTGATATCATTGAAACTTCATCAGTAATTATTAATACCCAGTGTAGGATTGTTAGTCCCCCAGCGAACGCCTCCTCAAGTGGCGGATTGAGGAATGCTCGCCGGCTTGACGGAGGGTACCGGGGAAATAAAATACTCGGGGTGAACCAAAACTAACAATTAAATCAAACAATGGATAAAACACAACGGATAGAAACTACCCCAGGTGGTAATCCGAGCAATGACTCGGGCAATCCATCTTCCTTGGAGGCAGGCCCCATGGATTCTAGAGGAGGAGGGAGGGGGGCAACTGTATAACAAAATCCTGGCTAATGTAGCACCCACTGGAGCTGATAAAATCAGAAAATGCTTAATTAGTGAGTTGCCAGTACGTAATAGAGCTCATCAGCGAAATCAAATCTTAAACAGGAGTTTGGTGATCAGCAACTTTGGAGTGTTACAACTAACAAAAGACTAAGGAATAGCTCTACAGAATCAGTAAGATCTACAAAGCAAACAAGGATAAAGGACTACTGGCTGAGTCTCAACATCAAATTTGATATACTTAACGGAGAAAGAGAAGAAACAGCAGAAGATCAAGGAAAACCAATAAAACCTCCCTCCATCTTTTGTTGATGAAGTAAGCAATATTCAACATGGACTTGCTTGCTGAGAAATTTGTTGATAATTATGAGATTAAAATATTGCGTGAACAAGTCAAGATCCAGTCAAAGACCACGAATACGTATACAGCAATTGTTAAAAAACTACGACAAAAAACACAGAATTTCATATCTACAAACCCAAATAAGATAGAAGTTTTAAAGTGATACTAACGAATATGTATCTCTCAACTAGAAGTGATAACAGCAATAGAAGAATTGGGGCATACGATGGTCAATACCTGTTGAAATATTAAGCAAAAAGCAACTAAGAAACCTCTGCTAATGTTTATTGTTGAATTAAAAGCAGAATCTATTAAGGCTATCTACAACATCAAAACCTTATTACACTGTAGAATAAATTTTGAACCTTCTCGTCCTAAGAAAGAGATCCCGCAATGTACAGCGATATGGACACACTACAAAATTCTGCCATCGCATAACAAGGTGCCTCAAATGTGCTGAAGATTATTTGACAGTAAATTACCCAAAAAAGATTTGGAGAAGTAAAGTATGTCCTATGTGACGGCAATCACCCGGAAAACTATAAAGGCTGCGGAGTATATAAACAATTGCAAAAAACTGGTATCCACCCCTTAGAGCGAGAGTAACAAATAAAATCACCTTTAAATGCACCGATACCTAAAGTTAAAAATTCCAAAAACAATAGCTGAACACCTTCCATACATTCAAATAGCTAGTACTAATATTAATTATATGCAATGTAACGATCAACTAGAATCGGGAAATGTAACACATAAAACCAGTAATAATAATAATGCCAGTAACCATGAGGTAATGGATATGCTTAAGGAGCTTATGAAACAGATGATCTGTATGTCCAACCTAATGTCTAGCATTATTGTCAAAATGACGATACATTCAACGAATTAAATATTACCATATGGAATGCCAATGGGCTAGCCAAACACTTTCTTGAATTGAAAGCTTTTTTTTATATACATTCTGTCAAAAAAGTACCGGGAATTGGTCAATAAAACACAAAATAGTTATTATTCATTCAAATTTATTGTATCGCCTTCAAAGTAGGCTCCTTTCGAAATAATACATTTATGCCAACGAATAATCCAATCATCAAAACATTTTTTAAACGCATTTTCCGAAATCGACTTCAGTTCTCGACGCGAATTCTCTTTTATGTCTTCTATCGACTGAAAACGAGTGCCCCGAAGTGGTAATTTGAGTTTTGGAAAGAGAAAAAAGTCAGCCGGAGCCATATCTGGTGAATACGGTGGTTGTTCGATGATATTTGTTGAGTTTTTGGTCAGAAATTCGTTCACAATGATAGCCTTGTGAGATGGTGCATTATCATGGTGCAAAATCCATGAGTTTGTTTTCCACAAATCTGGCCTTTTTCGACGAATTTGCTCTCTCAAACGCCGCATAACGCCCAGATAATATTCTTTATTTACCGTCTGACCTTCTGGCAAAAACTCCGAGTGCACAACACCGCGACAATCAAAGAAAACAGTTAACATCACTTTGACTTTTGATCGACTTTGACGTGGTTTTTTCGGTTTTGGCTCAGTTGGAAGGCGCCATTCCGAAGCTTGTTGACTGGTTTGCATATCAAACTCGTAAACCCATGTCTCATCACCAGTTATAATGCATTTTATGAATGTGGGGTCGGAATTAACTCGTTCTAACATGTCTTCAGCGACCTTTACGCGATTGAGTTTTTGAAGAAAATTGAGGTCTTTCGGAACTAGTCGAGCGGCAACGCGTTCCATGCCCAAACAATCGCGTAAAATGGTACGAATTGATTCGTGAGACACCGTAAGTTCAGCGGCTATCTCTCTCAAACTGAAATGACGATTTTCAATCACCATTTCCTTCACTTTATCGATGTTAACTTCAGTTGAAGACGTTGATGGCCGACCAGAGCGAGGCAAATCTTTCACCACATCTCGACCGCTTTTCAATGCACTGTACCATTCATATGCACGTGTTTTTGATAAAGTCGATTCACCGTAAGCCTTCTGTAACATCTTCAGCGATTCGGCACACGAAATTCTATTTGCAATACAAAATTTGAGACAAATTCTTTGTTCGATCTTTTCATTCATTGTAAAAATCGCAAAACACACTTGAGATGAACTGATAAAATCGAGCACGATAATCACATTAAATGACAGATGGCACTCCAGCTCCGCGTCAGTATAGAGGACAGTTATGCCAACTTAGCGACAAAAAGAATTTTGACAATTCCTTTAAGCGGGCTTTTTAAATGATCAATTCCCGGTACTTTTTTGACAGAATGTACATAACATTGACATAGTATTAACCCCGGAAACACACTTTTACCAATGAGAATACACTTTACCAATTACTTATGTATGCCTAGGTATAAATTTTATCAAGCGATGCATCCAGATGGCACAGCTCATGGAGGACTGCTATTTTAATAAAAAATAATATCAAATACTATATAACAAACCCCTAGACAAAAACATATTCAAGCAACCAATATCGTTGTTAAAGATTGGAATAGTTCTCTGATGCTATCAGCTGTCTAGATATGCAAATAAGGAGGAGCAACTCAAACAATTCTTCGGATCGCTTGGACCACAATTTATGGCAAGAAGAAACTTCAATGCGAAACACACATTGTGAGGATCCAGGCTGATCACACCTAAAGGTAGAGAGTTGCTTCATGTACTAAATCTCAGTGTCATCTCGACTGGCCAGCCTATCTACTGGCTTAGTGATATAAGCAGGATCTCTGATCTCTTAGATTTCGCCGTCACTAAGGAAATGCTTAAGCAATATGTAACTTGCAAAACGAGCTTTGATTTCTCCTCGGATTATTTCGATTATAATAAAGCTGAATAGTCAATTTACTGAGAATGATACTACATGTAAGCTTCACAGTAGTAAAACAGATTGGCATCAATTCCGGCGGGATGTGTTAGATAATCTCAATAAAAACGTATCCTTAAAAAATAGTAAGGACATATGATGGCAGTACAACACTTTAATGAGTGTGTACAATAAGCCGCTTGAAAAGCTACTTCTACAGCCACAATTGAGGGATTGCACTTATAGGTATCCAATGTGTATTAGGGAAAAGGTTGCTAACAAAAGAAAAGTTAGAAGATTATGGCAACGAACAAGATGTCTGTAAATTAAAAGGCGGTTAAACTACATCACTAAAGAACTAAAAAATATGCTAGCAGAAGTTAAGAATAAAGAAGTGCAGCAATACTTAAAGAATTTTGACGCTACAGTGACAACAGATTATTCATTATGGAGACCGACTAAGAAGCTAAAACAATTCCAAACTCTGCCCCCACCCATACCTAAACCTAATTGGAGCTGGACGAAGAGTTATTCCAAAAAAGAGGAGGCCTTCGCTATGCATCTTGCGGTTGTCTTCATACCTAACCCTAGTATAAATCTATTTGATGGTCGTACAAGCAGCTGGACAATTAGTGATAATATCGCAATTTGCAATCTGATAATTTTCTTCATTAAAAGATTATTGAACACGAGATACTAAAGACTATCTAAAGAATTGGCATAAATAAAACATCTGGATATGATCTAATAACAGTTCGCATTCTCAGAGAATTACCGGATATAGGAATTACTTATCTTATTCAAATCTTTAATAGTATACTGAGAATTGGTTATATTTCACTACAGTGGAAGGTAATACATACAGGTTACAATCAGATACAAAAATCTGGCAAAGCCCCAGAGAATGTATCATTATATAGACCAATTAGTCTACTGTGCCGATTCCATCAAAAGTATTGGACAGACTATTCCTTGAAAGGCTCATGCCAACAATTATGGAGAAGCAGCTGATCTCGAATTATCAGTTTGGCTTCAGAAAGAAACATAGCACATTAGATCAAGTGCATAGAATAGTAGAAAAAATATTTAACTCCTATGAAGCTGGGGAATACTGCACTGCAGTACCACAGGTAGTGTGCTACGGCCATTATTGTACTTTTTACATACAATCGATTTGTCAAAATGAGAATAATAATATATATATATTATATATATGAGAATAATAATATATAAATATATATATACATATATTGCAACCGCACTCACGAGCGTGGCGTAACTTCGTCGCGGGGTCGCAACTAATATTCTCGCTTACGAGTACGTACACACATGTGTACGCACACACATACGTACATACATGCAATACATAAAAGAAATTTTCTCTAAGAAATTTCATTTTGATTAAAAAAAGGACGGGAGAATAATCAATTGAGATTCAGTGCGCTGTTGCTGTTTGTAGTAAATTTCTCTCTTGCACCATGCGCCAAGCGCTTGGCGATCGCGAGCGCTGGGTGAACGAATCCTATCGCGCGCTTACGATGTGCTAGACAGACATTCGACGATGTTTAGTAATATCTCGATATATAATTATTGCGAAAATTGACGATCTAACGATGATATACGTAATGTCAAACCGTATCTATATATTTCATTTCTGTCGCGCGGCAAACATTGAAAATGTGCTTCAAAAAATGATAAACTATACAACTAATGTGATAGAAAACAATTATTTTATTTGTTCCTATCGAACAACTACTCTTTAAGTTTGTTCACGTTGCATGCTCCAACATGCTCCGAAACATGCTCTTATTAATTTGCCATAGCAATAATGCCAGAGTTGGAAAAGTTATTTTGAAAAGCAACGTATTACTGTAATTTGTTATATATTGTAAAACATTTATAACTACTTGACTTTTACGCGGAATAGATCGTTGGATACGAGTAGGTCAGATCGAAATATAAAAGAGGTTTGTGCAAGAGAGGTGAGATGCAATTGGTTACAAATAAGGCGGCGGCAATAAGAATAAGAGAGTTTATTATATGCGTTGTAATGTACCCAGGTAGCAAACAGGTCACTTTGACGTCAAATTCTGGTTATGTTGGTACAAATGACGTCAAGTGACTAAAAATTGACCAACCGATGTTTTCATCATTATGACATCATATTTTGGTCCTGCTTAATTTTTAGTTAGGAAATACATATTGACTTTACGCTTTGATTTGTCATTGATTTATACCGATGCAAATCAAAATATCTTGTAATAATAGTTTCTTTTCTATGCCAATCTATGTTTTATTTTTGAGCATAAGTGTGACCGTGATTGACTGTGCTATTTGTGTTTGTGTTCTAGTGTTTTTTTCCCCAGTCTATTGCATCCTAGTTGCCGTTTTCTTCAAAACGGTTGTTGTCGGCTGCCGCACGATTGTTACATCCTATAGACGTTACGATTCTTTTCTTTCGAAAGAGTTGGCTCCACGTCGCGACTACGGGCGGCGCCTATGAGATTCGAGTGAAGCTCACTGATAACGGTCTGATGGATCTAAAAAGAGGGAACCGAATGGGCTTCGCGAAACTCATAAAACGCCAATCAACCAGGAAGGAATAACAACTTTAATTCCCGAAAAAGTGACAAGATTGCATAAATGTATCGAAGTCACGCGATAATAAAATCCAAGCCTTGTCGTCAGAATGACAATTTCATCTTAGGAAAACAGGCGCCACGTAGCGTTTAAAAAATCGTAAAATGCATGGATAACTTTCTACGGTAACGTTATCTAAAGTCGGACTCGCGACTGACAATGGTTGCCCTGCACGTAAAACTAGTTTCTCGCGCATCTCAGTTCGCATCATATGCCTTATGCTGTCATCCAGCCACCAATCACTGGACCACCCTCTTGACGCTCTTGCGTTGACAGCGA